CCCCCCCCCCCCCCGCAACAGCCCCCCCCCCCCCTCCTGCCAAACCCAGCCCCGAGGGCAGCCAGGACAAGCAGCCCTCTCCGGCCGAGGAGCACATGGAAGGAGAGAAGAGCGTATGAGGCCGGACTGGTGCCGGCCCCTCGGCTCAGGGCAGGGACCCGCTGCCGGGGCTCTGCCGCGGGGTGAACTGCAGTGTGGCCGTGCCCCAGCAGGACGTCACGGGGCCGCCAGGGACCCGGCAAATCTGAGTGGCCTCTTTGGCTGCCTTTCACGCACCCTTGCTTTTCTTGCGCCGCTGTAGGTTCGTTCCCCTGATTTATCGGCACTATCTGTGATTGGAAACGTTCGTGAAACTATTTTTAGCGCCCCCGCCCCCACTTCCCAGGGACACCAAAACGCCCAGGATCCTGGCTTGCTCCCGCAGATCTCAGCTCCCTATCCCGCATGAGATGGAGGGCTGGCAGAAGGGCAGCGCTTCCAGACTCGAGGTCTGGGGCAGGAGAGGCATCCAGGCATCATTTACCCCACCGCACACAGCAGAGGTGAAGGAATATGCAGGTACATACCAGTCTGGCCTTCTGTTTTCTGATGGCATTTGACTTCAACCAAACCTATCCCAGGCAAGCCAGGTGTAAGAGAAGCAGAAAAGAGAACGAAACTCTTCCTAATTTATTCCTTCTCCCTTCTTTTCCCCAGAAGTGAAACTTTCCATGGAGTAGATTACTGGGAAATTGCTGAGATCAGTTTACCTGTGAATAAAATCCTTGCACTAGTCTCTATGTGAACATTAGTCTGTTACTCTTGCCATTCCCTGGGTTAGACATAAAACACACATGGCTCCAGAGCAGCGTTCGTAGCTTCAAACAGTAATGCTGGTATTTAATGGAGAGTGCAGTTGTGTCTAGATCTGCACAAAGCTGGGGGTACTTTAGCATCATTCTCTTGGAAAGAAAGACTGGAAAACAAAATAATCCTGTATTACAACACTGCAAATATGTCCTTGCATGTTTTGTTTTTAATAAAGAGGAAATAAAGCTTGGAAGGATATTCCTTTATGCCATCCAAAATCAGACTATTCCGTTCACTGAAGGCTTGTTGTAATGAATCTAGAGGTGAAAATGTCTTAATTATTACAGAGTGGGCACAGTGCAAAGGAGAAATTGATGCCTCAGGAAGTACAGTCTTATCTCTGACCCGAAACTCCCCAAAACAAAGCAGACTAAGATCTGATGCTCTAGGGCAGGCATCTCAATCTGGGGTGCCCCACATTTTTTCCATGGGAAAAGCAGATGCTTTAAAGTTAGTGACATGGACCTGCTTTTCTCAGGTGCCTTTTGCAGACTCCTAAGGCTTGTCCACAGATGTCCCTGGAGAACAGGGTGAAACCACTGCTCTGAGATTTGACCAAGTAGAGTGGAGGCTAGTGGAAAGACTCCTGTCAGCTCTGAGTGGATGGATACCTGTCAGCTCTGATCCTGTGCGTTGTGCTGAGGACCTCCTGCAATGCGTTGAGCACACACTTTTACACTGCGTTGTGTTTGGCTTCTCACAGGATCTGAGCTTGAGGATGTGCTTGGAAAGGCAGTCCTAAGTAAGGCTGGCAGTAAAAATTTCTCTCCCCTACCCAAGTGATCTCAGCCCACAAATTTCACAGAACCTGGGACTTCTCTGGGGCTCTCAGGACCCTCCCGTACCCCCTGGTGCACACCTTCCTTTCCCTGAGGCAGGGCTTGGTGTCGGCGCCCATTCAAAAGGTGGAAGCCTTGGTCTTCAGGGGGTGGCTTGGCAGCACCAAGCACCTTCATTGCTCCAGGAGTGAGGGGTGCTGGGCATTCCCCCAGGGTGGGGTTTGTGTCTTCTGGACACAAGCCATCGGGGAGGGCAGTGCTGGGTCTGTCCTTGGATCCAAGTACAAAGAAAAGTCCGACAGGGCCCACATTCATCAAATGGAGCCATTTTGCTTTACTTTTGCCACACCATGTGTTTCTTTTGGCAATCCTGAACTGTCCTAACTGCGGGGCGGAACATGCAGTAGTCTGTGATCCATCTTTTGTTCCAGCTTCAGGAGCTGCTCTGCTGAACTGTAGGTGGAGGTGGCTTCCCTGGCTGCAAATTATGGCTTAGTTTAAACAACAGCAACAACCTTTTTCTTCCATCAAAATAAAGTAGATCTCTGTATGCTTTGTAGTGGGGAGCAGTTGCAGCAAAGAGAATCGCTGTTTTCTTAGTGATCTTCCCAATCATAATTTTTTTACGCCCCCCCTACCCGCCAAAAAAAAAAGACTAAAAAAAAGATTCCACTCCAAAGAGGCAGGCCCAACTTCATTTCAACATAATTACCTTGCATTCAGTTGAACTTCAGCCCTTCTGTACACTAACTCTTCAATCTAATTGTTTGATTAAACTCGTATTTCCTCCAGAAAGGTACATAAATAAGTGAATTGTTGAGCAAATTAAGAATACTTAACAGCATTGCATCTGAAAAGTAGTTACGCTGATTAAATTTTCTGTCCTTGAGGATTTTCAGGAAATTACTTTTGATCGTCAATAACACAATTAAGTAAACTACACGCACATTAGCATGAATAATTGATAAGAAATTATGTATTACCACGAAGCACTGATTTAATAATTCATGATGCGACACTCTAGTGACTGTGCAAAACTGGATAACATCGACAAGTCTGCCTGATGTTGCTGGAAATGCTGCAATTACAAACAAGTCCATAGTTTTGTTGTACAATAAAGAAAAGTATCTGATGCATGCTGTAGTTTCTGTTTGTTTAATACTTGAATAAATTTAGAAAGAAGACCCTGAAAAGTTCCTGTACTGTTTTCATTCAGATCAATTTCTCTGTCCAAGTATCTGCTCTCACATTGATGACTGTCCAGTTCTGCTTAGACCACAAAGATGTTACAGAGTCAGGGAGGCTCTCAGGTTCACAGCTGGAACCTGCTGGGTGTCTCACAACTTGCAAAATTTGGGGGGAGGCGGGGGGGGAAGGTGTCAAAGTTTTGCAGATCCTCCTGTTAGGAGCAAAGTGACATTAGTCCCCCAGAAGCTTAAGCCCAAAGTCTTTTAGATTCTTTGGTGTCTGATGTGTCTGTGATTATAATTATTCAATACAATTTTGTGGGTGGTTGCTCTAAGTCAGCCACAAATGAAGCATTTGGATTTGTATGTTTTGAGTCTGCGCAACGCCCTGATAAACCCCAGGCCAATTCACCAACAATTCTTGCGACTTCCTTAGCGGAGGCAGATACATATTTGCATTCTCGTTAGCATGTCGGGGAAACCAGGGCATGGTGAACCACATTTTCCTCTCAAGTTTTGGTCTGAGACTTGTCTGCTCAGGGCAGTGCAGCCCAAGGGAACTTGCTCGAGGTCACCGAGCACTAGCACAAGGGCAAGAGCAAAACTCAAGAGATCTGTGTCTCAGTCGTGCCCACTTCTAGCCACCAGACCCTGCTCCCTTCCAGATAGACTCCCCACTGCGGATGAGCCACCCACCTTCTTTCTGTGCTATCATATATCAGGGCTATGCCACTTAAACCACTGCTGTAACGACCATCTCAGTAGCTCTGATTAAGTCTGGCATTTAAAAGTTTATAACTCAGCTATAAAAAGTCACTCAGGCTGAACCCCAGTGTGAGAGGCCCAGGCCCAAGGGGATGATTTACATGCGAGCTATTCCAAAATCAGCCTGGATGATATTTTTTCAGTTCTGTGAAGGAAAAATGGAAGCCCAAGGTTTGAGGGACGGATGTAAGACAAAGACGTTTTGTTTAAGGGCTTACTGCATTGTCACTAGATGCCATGCAGTAATTCTCTGTGAATTTCCATACTAGCACGAGCCAGGCGTAGCACGAACAGCCTCTGTGCAAATGTTGCTTGCACAATTTTGATAAAGCGTCTCCAGTCCTGGGCTCTTTTCTCAAGAAATCACATCCAGCCACAACGCCCAGATTTCCCCTCATCCCCCACCTTCCCTGCACGGGCCATCTCCCAACATCCTCACTCACCGCTCTGCAGAAAACCTGTGGTCCTGCCTCCAGCTCTGGTGCTGACTCTCAGCTTGCGCCGTCCCCATGCCACAGTCCCCCCGCCCCGCGCAGAGCCCTGCCCCAGCTGAGCCCAGCACCAGGGGGGCTACGGCAGAGGCTACGGGGAGCGGTGCTCAGGGCTTGTCTGTGGGCTTATCGCAGCGCGTTGGTCTGGGTTTTGTTAATGGGCGGTGATACAAAACGCCAGGCCGTGGGACCTTCTGTATAAGGTTGCATGCCATCCCGTCAACCCTCCATGCTTTTTATCTCTTCTACATCTGTTTAGGCCTCCTTATGCCTATATACATTGTAGCGGGAAATGTGAAACAGAGAATGCACCTTTGCTCAGTTCCGCCGTAGGCTAGTCCTTCCTACACTGCATGCTGGATAGTAATGAGATTGTTAGGCTAATTGGCTCTTTATTAAGAGTATTATTTACAATGATGCTGAAGGCCATGTGCATGCAGAAAAAGATCTGGGTATACCATTAAACTCTTCCCTCTTGCAGTCGGTGCCCTCCCCCCAGGTTTCTGCCCTTGGCAAGTTTGGGCTGGCCTTCTCTGCACCTCCCAGACTACTCCCCCATCCCGTGTCAGGGCCGGGGAGAAAAGCCTGTTGGCAGGGCTGTGTCTCTGGGAAGTTTGCACTTCTGCCGCGCACTTCAGCTTTCTGCTTCCCTGCAGCAGAAAGAAGCCAGCGCAGTGCGGGAGGAAGTCGTTTGCTGCCGGGCGGACCACGAGGGAGCAGGGGATGGAGATGAAATGCTTGTGGTGTGCTGCTGTGGCACATTCTCCCTCTAAAAGAGCTGTTACTCGATAAAGATCCTGTTGCGCCTGGCTGTTCGTGCGGTGGAAGCAGTGTGTGAAGCGGGGGAAGTGAGAAGCCCTGAATTGATACCCGAGCTGCGAGTACATAATTCAGACCTCTCCACTGAAGAGTTTGACACCCCTGCCATAAATAAAAGAGCAGTAGAGTACAATAAACAATGCTTTATTCCTTCCAGTTAAAAACTTCCTTTGCACTGTAGTAAAATATTGACTTCAGGTGACCATATTACCACAAAATACGATCTTTT